GGTCCTCTTTTTCGTTTCCCAACATACTTTTCAGCCATTGATTTCATGTACTACTACAATTTAGTACCACTTATCATCTAAATTTAAATTATTTTCTGCAGATTGCATCATGTTGGTAAGATCCACTACATATTCTGCTATCTGCAATTTGTCTCTCAAACCTTGTAATTGAGGAAGCCCAAGTTCTAAACCAGCTGGTATATATATTTCAATCACTCTGTGTTTTATTTCTTTTTTTTTTTTTCACCTTGATTTTTTCTTCTCTCAAAACCTTGATTTTAATATAAGCTTTGCTAACTTCATCACTAAATCATTTAAGCTTAGTAGATAGTATATTTTCTTTTTTTGAATTATAACCTTTCTCCTCATTCTCCTCCAAAGTGACAGGTTTTAGATTGCTTTTCTTTTCTAGTTTTTACTTTTATTGTATCTTCTTTGAAAATCTTTGAAGCAACTAAAAAGTAGATATCCGAGCAATTTGTGAAGAAGCTTTTGCTAGATTTATCCTTATTAAAGTCATTCTTAGTCATTTGGAGAAAATTGTAATTATTTTCTTTTTTAAATTAACTATTTTACAATTGATTTTTGCCTCTTTTTTTAAATCTACATATGACTATAGATCTTTTTTTTTTTAGTTGGTAGTGTCTACTGCTACTTATTTCAAGGTCAGCTCAGTCATAACAAGCATATTTGTTTCTCAATGTATCAAATAAATGGATATGTTTGATTTTATGAAGTTCTTTGATGTATTTCACTATATAAATAAATCTATATATTATATATTTGATGCATTTTTTTAGTTGGTAGTATCTACTTAATTATGTTTTGACTTGATAATCAGATTCTCCATTTTTTTTCTCATTATCATTTATAGATCTAAGAGTTTTTAAGTATTTTAACCTAAAATTTTTGTAGATATGTAAGTTATTCCTTAAGTCAACTTTTGTTTTCTTTATTCCTTATCTTTTATTTTGAAAATGAAATGAAATTCATATAAATAAATTCCCTTAAGAATTTAATTAAATTAAATTCTCATATTTATTTAAAAATTTTTAGCCTCTTTGCTGTAAAGTATAAATTAAAGTAGAATTAATTTCATTTCTCTTGTGCAGATTGTATCATTTTTGGTTTTTCTATTCCATATTCTGCAACCTGCATTCTCAACCTTCTTCAAAAACACTTGAATTGATCAGGAAACAATAGTTCCATGCCCAGAAGGTATAAATTTTTTTACTCCCTATATATTTTCTTCACATTCATGTCTTGGTATATATATAATAGGGATCTACTCATATATAAATTTTACTAATTTAATAAAATCTTATGAAAAAAATTAAAAGATTCTAATCATTTTTAAAATAAAATGAAAATATTTTAATTTTTTCTTCAAAAACACTTGAATTGATCAGGAAACAATAGTTCCATGCCCAGAAGGTATAAATTTTTTTACTCCCTATATATTTTCTTCACATTCATG